AACCCTTGCAGAGACTTGAAGTGCCAGGTTAGCGGGGTTACCCAGGGGACCCCCCTCCTGCTCAGAGAAGGGGAGGGGGTTGGGAGAAGGATTGTGGGAGGGGGTGACCAGGAGGGGCCAGTGAGCGGGATGTAAAGTGAATACGTAAAAAATAAATTAAATTGAAAAATAAAAAAAAGAAATTTGCCACCAAGGTCATTAGCTAGAATGTGACCATTCCAGAATTCTATCTCTATTTCTCCCACTCTTCCCAGGAGCTAGCCCAGCCTCAAAGCCTCTACTGCATGCTAGAGGACACTGTCAGACGTCAATGTCAAGGGAAAGCGTGAATGAGCTCAGGCGCTCAGCACAGGGCCCGACTGGAGACCTCACAGCAGACTAGAGTCCATTTCTTCAGGTACGAAAGCTAGCTGGGGTCAGAAGCTTAAAAGAGACAGTCGGAGCAGGGTGGGGCCAGATAAGGGAGAGGAGCTCAGATGAGCTGGTGGGGCAGTGGCCTCTTTAACCCGGTCACCTAGCACACCGCAGCGATTTGAAAAGGAAAAAGAATTGTTTCTTTTGTTTTCTTTGAGCCATCTAAGTATGGCTGGATTCTGTGCAATTTCTGCATGACGCTGAGTTTCTTTGATGCTTTGGGAATGGAATTTGTATCTAAGACCACAACAGAGGCACAGAAGTTGGAAGGAGCCTTCTGAGACACGACCATTCCCAGAGCAACCTTTGGCCCAAGGGAACTTATGCTCAGGTTAGCTTGCTCAAACTAGTGAGTAAATCTGACCTCACAACTCACAAACACTGAGAGCCTATAACACGGGAGCCGCGGCACTAAGTGTCTGAGACTTCCCTGCCTGGGTTACTAGTGAGGTTTCAGCAGTCCTGACTCTTTGTCTTCACGTTGCAACCCCCACTAAGCCTCAGTTTTTCCATTTATAGAATGGGCACAGGAGACCTTCCTTCTTAACACGGAAAGGAAATAGGACCAGGAGGCTGTACCTATTAAGTACACAATATCGGGTATCTAGTGCCCAGTGAGCCACCATTCCTAGAGTTATGGTTCCAGTGCCAGCAGGTGGCACACACTAGTCCTGTCACCATGTCACACCATGCAGAATACCTTAAAGGTTTGGCTTGGCATCAGAAGACCAGTGAGAGGCAGTGACTTCCCAGGAACCGGAGCTTGGTGCTGTTCTAACTCCACTTTCTTGCTGGTACAGCTGCCTACACCCTGCTAATGACGGACTCTCCCCTGTGCAGAATGAAGACTTTGTGTGGCATCTGGTTCTGGGAACACTGCTTTACTTTATTCTTTGGCATGAGACCTGCAGGGCAGGTTCGCAGAAGCATGGCACACAGACTCTCACAGCGCCCTCTAACCTCTGCTGTTTGCCCACTAGCCACCCTGCCCTCCCTCAGTTAGCCCAGTGCGGGAGTTGGGGAGGGGTTCTCACCACCTCCCCACTCTGAACAGGCAGGTGGGATTTCCCAAGAGGTCCCACTGGCTCTTTTCATTTGTAGTGATGAGGAATAATGACTTCCGGCTTGCCAGAGTAAACAGTCATGGAAGCTCCACTCCCCCTGCCCCTTCCCCCCCCACCCCGTGTCCTATGCCCTTATCACTCACACACTCAGCCCCTGGGGACTCTCCAGAGAGGCTTCCCTGAGTGTCTGAACCACGAGGACTCAGAGGGGAGGACAGTTTCTCTTCCACATGTCACTACCATAGGATACTGTCACTGCCACCAACGCCTATAACTTAGGTTGAGCAAGTTGTATCTGTCCCCACCCTGGACCATTTCTCCAACAGTCAGAGACAGGAAACTCAAAGGCTAGCATCCATGGGTGGTAGTTCTATGCCCTACTCAGTAGCCTCTCCCCAGCTCCGCTTCCTGTCTTGGTTGTCATTTTCCAGGATTTTGATTCTAATTGACCTGTGCCCTTTAATCTACAAGGACAAGATCTGAATACTCTTCCCTTCCTGGTTGTTTACTCACATTAGAGTGGGACTTCTTTTGGACATGGGAGAGTCCCCAGAGGTCTGGGAAGCTGGAGGGACCAAGAAAGCAGCTGTAGGAAACAGGGAAGAGGAAGCAGGCAGCGGAGTCTCAGCTTAACTCTACCCCGGTTCCCTTGGGGAAGCTAAGGAAGAGCTGGCAGGTCGTGTCCCTTTCTGACCTGCAGTGGCACAGGAAAAAACAAAGGCAAGAGCAGACACAAGTGAAAGACAAAAGAAAGTCACTTCAGCGGTGGGCTGAGTCTGGGGACAAGGTGGCAGGAGCAATTCTATCCTTAAGGAAGAACTGGAGTTGGGTGACTAGGCCAGAGAGCAGGCTTGGGTGTTGGGGCTGCCCTGGGGATCATGCTGCCCCACCTTCACCTCAGCATTAAGTCTTTCCTGACCCCCTTGTCCCTTTGTCACTCCGTGTGACCTCTCCTGGTTTGGATGATTAGGTATCCAGATTACCCTGGTTTGGGTTTATGTCTTGGCATAGGCACACACAAAACCTCCTTCACTCATGAGAATCCCAGTTTGGATAATAAATCATACAGTCGCTCTGGTGTGTGTGTGTGTGTGTGTGTGTGTGTGTGTGTATCCATCGGGCACTGACATGAAGCAAGGTTAAGGACAAACCGGAGAGAAGTGTAATTAAAAGTGAAGTCCTGCTAGTCTAGAGCAGCTGCTGGCTTCAGCCCAGACAGAGCCACCCGAACAGAACAGCAATGGAAGACAGTGTCAGGGCTGCTGTCCCTCCTGGAGCTTGATTTGGAGGTTGAGACCTAGTCTGCTGGCATCCCTTGGGGGAGAGGGCTGTCACCATGCTGGGACACATAGAAGACTCTTAATGGAATATGACCTTGTCCCTATTCCCTCTACTTGCATCCCAGATGAACTCGCAGCAGTGGCAAGTGGAAGCTTGACCCCCCTAACCCACCATCCAACTTCAAATTAAAACGGGATCCCGGCATCCTGGCCTTGCCTCTCTACTGCGTAGACAATAGCAGCCGAGAGGCTGATCTCAGCCAATTCCTAAGACATAGAATGAGAATCTAAACAACAGCATTCTCCTGTCTTGGGTAACTTCTTGGTCTAGCCATTTAGACACTAGACCTTTCTCTACTGAGATCCTAGGCTTTGCACATCTACAATTTGTGCTGAAGGCAGAGGTCTGGGGGGGGGGTCTTTGGGAGCTTCCCAAGGGACTCAGACCCTCCAAGAGATTAGTTCGGAGGTGGACGGGGAGGGAGACTAATAGGTCACATTATAAATAAGTAGAGCCCAACGCACCAGGGCCACTAGAGTATGTGCAGACTTATGATTGTACCTAGAGAAGAGTGAGGGTCTCTTCTAAGCTGACCAACTCTTTTCCTTTCTCTCCTTTTCCAGTCCCTCCACCATCTTGGTCAGGGACCAAGTCACAGCTGACTGGGGATTCCTACTCTTTGCACTTTGAGGCAATGTCACTGTGGCCTCCCTGTGGCCTCAGACAAGCTAGAAAAGGCTACAGGGTGAGGCCCCCAGGTCACCTATTTCTGTTCAAGGGGTCTCTAGTATCCAAAACAAAACCAGGAACTTTAACTCTTACTGCCTGCCTCCTGTTCTGGCTGCATGCCCGAACACACAATTCTCTCCAGTCTTCGGCTAGGGAAGGCATAGAGATGGTCCCCCAAATATAAAATACCCTTAGTTTACAGAGTTGAGGGTCCTGGGTCCAGACAACCCCTCTCTGCCCCTCAGAAGTTCGCTCTTACTCCCTAGCCTGGGGAAAGCCTTCCTTCCATTTTCTGCTCCCTGAACCTTCTGATTTCTCCTGCACGCCTGCCTTACGAGACAAGACAGGTAACAGACAAGGTAGAAATGGAACCAGTTGCTGGTGGTAAGTCCAGTCCAGAGTACTGGGACGCACCTGTAGTTCTTAAGAATAGGAAGAGGTACTGATTTACCACAAAACCACTGTCTCTTCATGGCCATCTCCTGGAATCACCCCTCGCCCATCAGACAGCCATTGCTGGCAACCCCCACCCTGTTGTCATGAAGAAGATAGCCTTCCTCAGGGCATTGGGGCAGACCTGAACTCTGTCCAAGGAAACTTTTGCAATGCCCAGAAAATGCCTCCCCAACTGCTTGCCTGGGCTCTGGCCCCTCTCACTGCTGTTGGGCCCAGACAGGAGGCTGACTCACTCACCACAAAGAGGAGGAGGAGAAGGAGGAGCACGAGGAGGAGGAGCACGAGGAGGTGGAGGGTGGCTTAGGCTCAGAGAGCCAAGGCTGCCAGAGCCCAGGCAGATTCAGCCTCGGGTGGGGGAACAGTCATAGTGGAGACAGCGGTCCTGGAGATCACATGAAGATCCTACCTAGATTCTTCTCCTGGATCCAAGTCCCCTCACACTCCAAACAGAAACTATCCCTTAAAAGCCCTTTCTCAATTTCCACGCTCGCCCCTGAGTCCCTCTGGACATCTGTGGACAGGCTCTCCTGAAAGAGAAACCCAGGACACTAGTCTTGAAGCACTGGCGGCTTTAGAAAGTCAAGCAAAGAAAACTCCATTTAAAAGATTCCACTCCATCATCACAGGTGACCACACATGGGCTCCGCGGGGTAATAGACAGGCTCGACACACTCCAGAGACCGTAGCACCATCGACAGCCAATCCCTCCCTTCTTACTCCTCCACTCCAAGCCAAAGCGCCTGTCCAAGGAAAGAAACAAACGCTTCTTGTCCAGTGCTGAGCACCCTCCTAGCGAAGGACTCCTACGCCGAGCCGCCTGAGCATCGCGGAGGTGGCTGCCCCCCTCGCCAGTCTCACACGAACTTCAGCTTTCTCAGACTTGGGTGCCCTCTCAGAGTCCCAACCTCATGGCCCGGATCTCAGCCGCCAACTTCGCTTTCCGAGTCTCTGACTCTACTGCTCGCACCCAGACCCTCAGACCTCTAGACCCCAGACGCCCGCCCTAGGTCTAACCACTCACCCAGAACCCCCTTCCCCCTGCTCCCCGATCCGCACCTGGTCTGGCGGTGGACACACTGCTTGGTGCTCCCGGCGCTTGGGACTCGGCAGCAGCCTTTTGACAAGCAGAGACTGCTCAGCACCTGGCCCCGCCCCCTCAAGGCCCCACCCCCGGACCTCCCTGCCCCCTCAACCACGCCCACTAGGTCCTCTGAAGCCCTGAAACTTTCTTGACTTGGAATCAACCACTGCACTATCGCCTTGGACACCCTGCCATATGAGAGGCTCCAGGACCCCCGGCCACAGCGCAGCACAGGCGTCTGCCTTCCGTGGGGCAGTCTTTAATGATGTCGCGTGTGCAGATCCACGTTTCTGCCTGTGGTGATCCGTGATGTATGCACCACCCACCCCCGCCGCCGTGGTTCTACCCAGTCTGTTGTAGACGCCTCCGCCAGGTGTGTCACCCGTACCTGAGTTGACCCAGGACCCCGACGCCCGCGGCGCGCTGCGGGGAGCAGTTCTCTGCGCGCCCGTGGGGAATCTCCGGCGAGTTTCTCAGCCGGACTCTACTGGTTAGGATTAGCACACGGGGACCGGAATGGAGGCTGGAGTTGCGTCCTCTCTCCTACCTGACGTCCCTCTGTTAACTACAGCGTTGGAGCTTGTTTCTGGCTAATTGCAACTCATTCCAGCGGGCTTTGCCTTAGCTTCTGAGGTCTCTGCCTCCCAGATCCTCCTTCTTTGCCACCGAGACCCTGGTGTGAAGGAATGAAACAGGCACAAAGTTCACCTCTAGACTAGGCACTGTGGATGGCTCCTGAGAACTCGTTGTAGAAAAAAATGGATAAAGATTATTTTCTACTTACCAGATGCTGAAAGAAACGGGTCGATAGAGCTCCATCGTTTGAGTAGGAGATGTACGCATAAATAAACATAAGAATGTTCTAGAATACTGATACCCACAATGTCACTGGACAGCTGGTGACCTCCTTTAGCCAGGGAAAATAATATTGAAGAGGCTCAGTGGGGACAGGGAGGTGGAGAACCGAGTGATTTGCCCAGACCGACCCAGTGGACCAGTGAAGGAGGAGAGCTTAGCCTGGTGGCTAGGTGCACTTACAATTCCTCAGACAGGGGTGTTAAAGTGGAAGAAATACTGCCAGCCCTTCCAGCTCTTGATGACTGTCCCCAAGAAACCAGCAGGGGCTAAATAGAAGGAAGAGCTTCCAGACAGTGGGATCTGAGGGGAGGACGTGAGGCAGCTCTTTAAGGGATTGTCACGGAAACAAGCGTCCTGGAAAGTCGTTAGCAATTTCAGAAAACATGCAACACGAGGTGTTAAACTCGGGAATGGACAATCTGTGTCAAATGAATGAATGGAAGAGGCCTTTTGGGAGCCCTGCCAGTCTGGTATTTATTCTAAATTAAAAAAATTACTTATTCTAAATGAAAGAATCGATTTCCAGAGCCTCATGGGAAAGCTGACTCTCGAGAAGAAAAGCACAGGAGGAAATCTCAACAGCCAACACCTTAGGGCATTCCGAAGTCCTGTGAGACTGCAGGAGGCGATGGAAGATGAGCGCCTACCTTCTCCATACTGTGGATCTTTTTCACAGTCGTGAACTGGAAGTTCACATAGGTACCATGTTCTAGAGGATGAAGAGTAATCTCTGAATGTTTTATTCAACCTTCAGGTCAATCTTTCAAGGCAGAGCAGCAAAAACTGACCCCATCTTAAAACTGGGCATTTTTACAGCTGGACAATGACAGAGCCACTTGAACCCTGTCTTCTTTCTGACTGACATCATTTCACACTGGCTCTCAAAAAAAAAATTCATGTACTTTTCACCTATTGGATCACAGTCTAGAAAAAAAAACAACCGTGTGTGGGAATGAGTGTAGAGATGGTTCAGCCATTAAGAACACTGTCTGCTCTTCCAAAGAACCAGGGCTCAGTTCCCAGCACCTACATGGCAGCTCATAACTGTCTGTAACTCTCGTTCCAGGGGATCCGACACCTTCACACAGACATCCGTTCAGTCAAGTCACTAATGTACAGAAAATAAAAATAAATAAATAACAGCCAGGAAGAACTCAGAGGTTCTAGGTTTGGCAAATTTGCAAGGTTGTAGATGTCATCACTGTGTTTACCACACTCCATGATTGGTCTAATAACCATACCCCCAGTGATGTCATCCCCATCCTCCCACAATTTCTGGACCACCACCTCTCACCTGGCTCTCCAGACTCTGCTCTCTTTCATATCTCTGTCCATCAAACCCTTTCCATTGTCTCCAGGCAACAATGAACCGCTGTAGTATTTTGTTACTCTATCATATGGTTTATCACCTTCTAGCAAGACATTTTGTGTTTGTATTGAATAAAAATTTATTCTACCCCAGCTTTGTTCTCAGAAATTTTGTAACAGTGGAAAAAGCAAGATTTCTTTCCCCCTTTCTTTTTCTGGCAACTCCTACTGTCCCCTGACCTCACACATACCTAGGCAGGTCCTGGAAGGGAGGTTACATTCTCAGACGTCCTTTCCTAGAAACCTTGAGAGCAGAAAGCATTCTCTGCTAACTCGACTTCAGAGCTAGTAGCTTTAAATTCCTTTAGAGGCAGGAGAATCTGTGAGTTTCAGGCTAGCCTGCTCTACAGAGTGAGTTCCAGGGCAGGCAGTGCTACCTGAGAAACCTTGTTTCAAAACACAAAACAAAATTCTGCTAGATTGTCACAGGAGCCATGTGCCAGGTCCTCTGTGCAAAGTATGACTTTTCTTTTTACCTTTGAAGATAGCATTCTTTGTTGTCCTTAGAAGGGTGGTGTTGGTTACTTTGTCAGATTGCCTCTGTTCAGTATTTATCTCTGATCAGTTTTACCAGGAACTACATAGGAGTGCTGTAACTCAGCCATTTGGTTTTTTTCTTAATATTTACTTATTTTATGTATATGAGTACACTGTAGCTGTCTTCAGACACACCAGAAGAGGGCATCAGACATCATCACAGATGGTTGTGAGCCACCATGTGGTTGCTGGGAATTGGACTCAGGACCTCTGGAAGAGCAGTCGGTGCTCTTAACCACCAAACCATCTCTCCAGCCTCTAATTCAGCCATTTGTATATTACCAAACGACCCCTGCCAGGGGTATGCTCTCTGCAGGAGGGACTTCAGAGCATGAGACCACCTTGTGCATCCCATAAGGCAAAGCCTGGTCTCTGGTCATCTCTACTAGACCCTGGCTGCCTATGGGTGGTGTGGGCGGATGTAGCCTGTTGTCGGCCTATGAGCCCCCCCTTTTTTGCATCCTGGGCAATGTCTCAGAGATTGGCTGGCCCTCTCTGAGTTCCTGGCCATGATGTAAGATCTCAAGCAGATCCTTTTGTCTCTAACATTCCCACAGACCCTGTGCTTACAACAGAGAGGTTTCCCTGGTAAAAGAGTGGTTGGTGCCCTTTGTGCTCTCAATGGACTGCTTCCCTCTGACCGTTTGCTTTCTCCCGTCTTAGGTCTCTTTCCTCCTCCTTAATATTTTATTGTTATGGGCATGTGGGAAGACATCAGCAAACCTCTCAATCAACAGATGCCGGGAGAAAGATAACCGGAGAGCCACAGAGCTGCAGGGTCATGGTGGCAGAAGGGACCAAACCTTCTTTTCACTTATCCCCTCCTTTAGATGCTTTTATGAAATTAAAAGTTTGAAAAGGTTAACTCATCCGTCTTTTAGGACAAAGGGGATCTGGGACTGTTCGTGTTTGTGTTCTGATGGCACAAATGAAATGAATACATGGAGGAGCTGCAGGCAGAGGAAACAAATCCATCGAAAGGGGCTTTCCGGGGCAATGGCTTTCAAATTGCCAACTGCTGTCCAGTAAAGACACACATTCATCGAGATCCAGAATACCTATAGAAAAGTTCTCATGAAACAAGAGCTTCCCTGAAATGGGTTCTCTCTGGATGAAGAAAAAAAAAAGCAATTTAAAAAAGGAAAGACAAGATGGCCCCTAGGTGATGTGAAAGAGAAGGTTTATTGTAGATAAAAGGAAGAGTATAGCCAGAGGCAGGAACCTCTAGGAGAGTCCAGAGTGAACATGACCCTGAGCTACGGAAGGAGTGAGGGGAGAGAGGTGCAGAGAAAAGAGAGAGGGGAGAGGGGAGGAGAGCCACCAACCAAGAGGTGCAGCCTGGGCCAAGAGGATGGGCAAGAGGCTAGGAAGACCAAAATGGATGGATTGTATAGGGAAGCGTAGCCCAGCCCCTGGACTGAAGAAGTTTAACATAAGAAGGGCATGCCTCTTATACCATATGACAGGTAGGGACTGAGGAATCCTGGGAGAACATGGTGGCCGGTCTGTTTTGATATGTCAATGGGTTAATTAGGCTTGAGACCCCCTTCTTTCTTTCTCTTACTCTCCCTCCCTCTCTGGATCTCCACTTTCTAGCTCCTTCACCTTCTAGCTCTCTGATCCTCTCTCTCTCTCTCTCTCTCTCTCTCTCTCTCTCTCTCTCTCTCACACACACACACACACACACACACACACACACACACACACACACACGATTGTAGACTCCAATCAGGATTTGTTTGAGTTTTGCCTTTCTGAGCTCAACACACCATGGGACCCAAGAGCCCAGAACCCAAGAGGACCAGCATAGAATACAGGGACCGCCATCAAGAATCCCACAGGGGCTCCCTAGTGGGATCAGGGCTTTGGGGATTTCTTCTCCTATGGTGAGCATGAGGTCCCTGAGGCAACTTGCATCTATCAAGGTTTGCTTTTCGTGGCCTTAAGTCAAGTGTTACCTTATCACTGTCCTGAGTTTTCTAGCTTTCCGGCCTGCTCTAGAAACAGCCAGGTGCTGCCAGGTGTCCTTCTGGCTCTAAATCCTTCTGGCTCCCCTGCTCCATTCCCAGCAGCCCAGCTCATGTCTCTATCCTTGGGGGTTTGAGCATCTGTTTCTCATCTCCTCCCACACCCTGAAGCCTAGGTTGCCAACCCATTGACCCGCACACAGTGTCAGTTAGCATGTCCTGGGTAGTGGGGGAGCCATCAGATGGGGAGGTAAAGACGTCTACCTGTACCTCCAAGCAGAGGCGGCATGAGGCTCTCCCAACTCCCAG